CTGACACAGACCACATCATGAAGACCAGAGACGCGGTAAAAGAACAATGAGAAAACCAGAGGTTCCCAGAAAACGGTCAGTTTTTCTCCCAGCAGCCCAGGTGGTGAGCACTGGCCCTGGCCACAACAAAGCCAAATAAAACACATTTCTCTTTTTGGTGATAGTGACAGAAAGGGAAGCCAGCAGAGATCAAGTGACCAGTAATCCCTCTCTTCTAGATTATTTATACTGAGTTGCTGGATGTGCTCTGAGTCCCAGCACCCAGCCTTGTCCTCTGCCTTCTGAAACTCAGCTGACATCCTACTGCTTATTTAAAGACCACTGAAGGGCCAGAGAAGCTGTGAGGTGCCATCCTCCCTGTGCTTATCAAACCCCCACAGTCCCCGCCCCTGCACCGTGCCTCAAGCCCAGCATGGGCTGCCTTCCCCTTCTGCACTCAGCGTCCCATTCACCATCCCATGGACACTGGATGCCTGCCATCCCCAGCACAAGCTCTGGTGATATAAAAACATGGTGCTGCGTCCTTAAAGAGTCATAGTTTAGGAGTAACTAGGCATGTGTAGCACGGTACAGGCTGTGCTGTGCTGTGCAGGGGGTGGGATAGAGAGGAATGTGGAGGAGGGTATCTATGCAGCTGTGTTCAAGTGGGGGATGGCCAGGGCAGGCCTTCTGGAAGGCACATATAGAAGTTGTTAATTGCTGGACACGGTGGCTCATGCCTGTAACCCTAGCACTTTAGGCAGCTAAAGTGGGAGGATTGCTGAAGCCCAGGAGTTCAAGACTAGCTTGGGTGACATAGCAAGATCTCATCTCCACAAAAAATTAAAAAATGAAAAATTAACCAGGCATGATGGCACGTGCCCGTAGTCCCAGCTGCTTGGGAGGATTGCTTAAACCTAGGAGGTCAAGGCTGTAGTAAGCTGTGATGGTGCCACAGCCCTCCAGTCTGGGTGACAGGGTAAGACCCTGACTCGAAAAATATATATATATATTTTTAAAAAGTTGTTCCTTGAACAAAAGTAGGAGACAGCCAGACAATGAAGGGTGTCCCTGGCAGAGCACACTTCATTGCTTGGGGCCTGGGGTGGCAGCAGAAGCAGCCAGAGCTCCTCACTCTTCAGTACAAACACCTGTCAGTGGGCAAGGGGGTGAGGTTCACACTCCTAGGCTCTCCCTCAAGGCTGTCCCTAGGTGTGGTTTGGAATCTCTGAAACTTCCAAGGGTCTAGGGGCCTTCAGGGAAGTTCAGTGTGGATTCTCTAATGTCTGGTTGTGAGTAAAAGGAATGTCTGTGACTATACAAGAAACAGGAAAGGCTCTTGATACAAAGGTCTCCCAGCATCCAGCTTCAGCCAGCCTTAAGGGATCACCCCAGAGGCCCCAGGGGAATCAGCTCCAGGTCAATCCCCACACAAGCCGCTGAGAGAGCATCAGGAGCCTCACAGAGCCACCTGTGCCTGTCGGCGAGGCCTGGTGGCTGAGGGTCAGCTCTGGATCTGGGCCACTGACATGTGATCAACAGCCAGGCAGCTGCCACAGACACACAGTCACACAAGTTCTGTAGGAAAAGCAACCGGGCAGCCCGGCCAGCACCAGAACTGGTGCGAGGCCTGAGCTGTGCCTTCAAAATGTATGCCCCACGCTTGTTTCATTTTCTCCCTGTCATGGGTGCTGTTTTTCAGGGGATCAAGAATTGGGTTTCTCTGTCCCTTTACTATGTTCTACAGAAGTTTTCCAGGCAAGATCATAGAATATGAAGCATTCACAATATCATTGGGAGAGTGTGCTATCCGTATATGGGGGTAGACAACTGAGCCGAGATCAGTGGACCATGGGGGCTTGACTTGGGTTGGCCCAGGGACAGATCCGTCATTAAGCTTCTTTCCAGCTCTAATTCTCTGAGTCTAAATTATCCTCACTCTTCTTCCTGGTGTGACTAGAGACCCACCCCGTGGTTCCATGAACTAGCTGGTTGACTAGGAGGAGGTGAGTAGCCTGAGATGAGGGACAGAATTCTTCTCCTCTGTATACAAAACTAGTGTCTCCAAGAAGGAATGAGCAGGATGTGCTGGTCCCTCGGGGTCCCACCTGCCTTCCAAAACAGGGCGAAGTCACACCCAGAAAATAAACATTGTGTTCTGAGACTGCTGATGCACAATGCCAAATTGTCAAAGGAAAATTCAACATTTCACCTAAAACGCAAATATTTCCTCACCACCAGCTCCCTGGCACCTCGGAGGAGCACGTGGATTTTGAGTGGCACTGAGTCCCATGCTACTACCTGTGAAGCCAACACATAGGAAGTGCCCTGCACATACCCTGGATCTTTGTTTTTGTTTTTGTTTTTGTTTTGTTTGAGTTGGAGTCTCACTCCATCGCCCAGGCTGGAGTGCAGTGGCATGCTTATGGCCATCCCAGCGTCAACTCACTGGGCTCTGGCAATCCTTCCGCCTCAGCCTTCCAAGTAGCCGGAACTACAGGTGCATGCTACTGCACTCAGCTAATTTTTGATTTGTTGTAGCGATGAGGTCTTGCCAAGTTGCCCAGGCTGGTCTCGAACCCATGTGCTCAGGCAATCTGCTCGCCTCGGCCTCCCAAAGTGCTGGGATTACAGGCTGAGCCACTGAGCCCAGCCACACCCCAGATCTTTGGAAGCCCTGAAACTAGTGCTGCACCTTCCAGATTGAGGAACCTGGTCCAGGGACCCCTTAAGTTGCTATAAAACCCCCTGATAAGCAACTCCTGTTGGCAAGTTAGTAACAGGCCTCAACTGGACAGTAAGTGTTCCCAAATGTGCTCCAGTCCTAGTTGGTCATTTACAAAAAAAAAAATAAATAAATAAAAGTCCCAATGGTTATGGTGGCTTCAAATCACTACCACCAAGGTGTGCCTGGGTTGCTTGCCCCATCATCGGAAATTTGCTGGTCAGGCCAGGCACGTTGGCTCATGCCTATAGCCTATAATCCCAGCACTTAGGGAGGCCGAGGTGAGAGGATTGCCTGAGCCCACAGGTTCAAGACTAGCCTGGGCAGCTTGGCAAGACCTCATCTCTACAATAAATCACAAAAACTAACTGGGCATGATGGCACAGTTCCAGCTACTTGGAAGACTGAGGTGGAAGGATCACCTGAGCCCAGCAGATCAAGGCTGCAGGGGCTGTGAGCGTGCCACTGCCCTCCAGCCTGGGTGACAGAGTGAGACTCCAAAAAAAACACTGGCCAGTCACAGTGGCTCAGCCTGTAATCCCAGCACTTTGGGAGGCCAAGGCAAGAGGATTGCCTGAGCCCGGGGCTTCAAGATCAGCCTGGGCAACTTGGTGAGACCTCATCTCTACAATAAATCACAAAAACTAGCCAGGTGTGATGGCGCACACCTGTAGTTCCAGCTACTTGTAAGGCTGAAGCGGAAGGATCGCCGGAGCCCAGCAGGTCGAGGCTGCGGAGGCTGTGATTGTGCCACTGCACTTCAGCCTGGACGACAAGAATGAGACTTCAACTCAACAAATAAAAATAAAAATAAATTTGCTGGTCATGGGTCTGCTCATCAACATGTCAGGCCTGGGAATCAAGAGATCCAGGGCCCTGCATCTGTGAGGTCACATGCTAACAGCAGGCTGATGAGACTCCTAGCTACTCCCCTATGTAGGACTGTCAGGACAGTGGTGAAAAGGCCCAGAGCAGCACAGATGCAGGAAGACTGGTGTGGGCCCCACAAAGTCAGCCTAGCTGATCTTGGGGACTCTGACAGAGAAGGAGTGCTCTGGAGAGAGGGCAACTCCTGAGACTTTGGACCAGAGATTTATCATTTGATTCAGAGATCAAAAGGCTGGTGTCTCTGAGAACATTTTAGGTGGAATAAATTGATGGGTGGGATGGAGCTACTTGTATTTCAATATTCAAGCACCCCTGCTGGTGCCTAGTCTGACTCTGCCCTCCAGGAAGCACACCCAGCAGCCCACTGTGTATTGATTCTGCAAAGTCAGGGTCTAGATCCCAGGAAGAGTCTTCCTGCCACAAGCAAGGCTAGTTGGGAAGTCACCTTTGAGGGGAGTCCATCTGACAGTTGTATTTGCAGGATTTCTCCCTGGGATTGCCAGTCCATGCACATATACACATGAACACACACACGCACACATGCACATATAAATGTATTTCTGTCATCAATCAGCAGCAAGAGACAACCATATTATTCCAAACTGGCCACCAAGTAACTCACCTAGTAAGCACACTTTTTTTGTGCTTGAGTTTGTCATCAGCTACCTGGGAACCCAGCATGTTTACCCCCTTCCCTTCCTCCCTCTCTCTCTGCCTCCCTGTGAGGTTAAGAAAACAAAGATAATAACAGTGAAAATCGAGAGGACCTTGATAAGCTTCCTGCAGAGTGCTCCAGAATAAAAGACATTGATGTCATCTTTCCCTGTAATTGAAAAGACCCTGAGGGAGGCTAAGCTGCCCTCGAGATGGGGGGCGGGGGTAGGGAGGAGATCAAAGGATTTTCTCTACCCTGACTGGGGAATGTGCTGCCTTAAAAGCCCTCCCCTTCTCTCCGGGCACCCAGTGAATTATGCCCTAGAGGTAAGGCACACTCTCTGCCCCATCCTCAGCCTCAGTTTCCTCATGCGTCTCTTGAGGGAGGGGTGCACCGGTCCACCCCAGGGGACCCTCCTGGCTGTGCAATCACTTGTCCCAGGCAGCCGATTTGGCATTCACCAAATGCTCCGTAAGTCAGAGGGATTCCCACAGTCGGTCACTTTCCCCTTTACTTTGCACACAGAGATTGCACCAAGGAATGCGTCCCTCCCTCTCTTCCCTGACCCCTGCCCTCCAAGACACTCCAGCCATCCCAGTTACCCACAAACACAAAAGAAATCACCACTTAGGAATGAAGCCTAGGGATCCCCTCCTGCCTGACTTACAAAACCTTTCTTCCTAGGCTCAGTGTGCTGGGAAGACTTTGAGGAGAGAGAAGAGCCAGAAAGCAAGGCACAGAAACTCAACCTACCACAGCTTCTGAGTCCTTCCTTCCAGGCAGAGGCTGTCTCCTCGGCTCTGGCTCCTGCAGGATCTCCACTCAATGGCCCTGAACAGCTCCAGCCTCCTTTAAGTCCCAAGGCAGGGGGTGGGACCGGTGGCCTGGTGGGCGGGTTTCTCGGTGGGAGGATGCCCAGTGGACAGGACCATGTGTGAGCCGGGCGGGCCTGTTTTTATACAGAAGGGGAGGAAGTTCACGGTGGAAGCAGCACAGAGATCCTGGCTCTGGGCCAGGCCGATTATTCACAGTCCTGATGTCATCGAGTTGCAGGAATTTGGGAGTTGGACAGGACCTCAAGAACCGTCTTCCTCTAGAAGCCTCATCAGAAGGACCCCCAGTACCAGCCAGCTCCAAGCCCCATCACAACGAAGGAGTGTTTACAGTAATAAAGGGGAACGGAGAGGTGGCTGAGAGGCTTGGATGGAGCCCCCAGGGCTGCAGCGCTTGGGTTTGGGGGAGGCGGTTGTCAAAGAGGCGGGCAGCCTTCCTGGGCACCTGGCTCAGCATCTGCTCTGGCTCTAGAATTGTATCTGTGTAGGGCAGGACTGCGCTGTGTGGCCTTGCAGGTCTTCCCCAGCCTTTTCGGTATCAGGGAGCAGTTTTGTGGAAGTCAGTTTTTCTACAGACTGGGGCCGGGAGCGGGGAGCGGGGATGGCTTTGGGATGATTCAAGTACATTTATTGTGCACTTTATTTCTATTATGATTACATTGTAATATATAATGAAATAATTATTACTATGAAATTATAAAATCATTTTTTGATATGAGTCTGCAAGCAATTGATTTATTATGGGCTCTGAACAGTCAAACCTCACTACTAATGTTAGTTCATACTTGCAACTGCCCCCCGGCACTAGCATCACCACCTCAGCTCCTCCTCAAATCATCAGGCATTAGATTCTCGTAAAGAGCGTGCAACCTAGATACCTCATGTGCACAGGTCACAACAGGGTTCATGCTCCTCTAAGAATCTAATGTAGCCACTGATCTGATAGAAAATGGAGCTCAGGCAGTACCTGCAAGCGATGGGGAACGCTGTCACTACAGATGAAGCTTCGCTGGCTGTGCAGCCAGGTTCCTAACAGGCCACGGACTGGTACCAGTCTGTGGTCTGGGGATTGGGTACTCCTGTTCCCAGTATATCCCAGAGGGCCTGGTGCTCTGCTCTGTGCCCTTCTTCATAGCCTGGTCTAAAGCTCCATCACAGCCACCATCCCTTAGTGAAACCTTTCCGTGCTGACTTTTGCATGTAAATGCTCCTAGAAATAGACCAGCTGCTTGCCTTGTTGATACCGTTTAGGTGACTGAGAAAGAAAAGTTGTGTGGTAGAGGGAAAGCCCTGGGTTTGAATCTGACCACGCTGGCCCTGTGCTGCGCCCTCAGCTGCTTTCCAACTATGCTGAGCTCTGGTGTTCACATCTGTTGGTCATATGAGGATCAGGGAGAAGCCACGCATGTCAGAATCCTGCACATCCTGGGCTCAGGAGCCGCGTGTTATCGCTGGCTGCTGTTTGGCTGAGGCGGGCCACATGAAGATGAGAGAGGTGAGAGGAAGAAGGTAAGAGGAAGGGAAGATTGGCAGAGGAAACTGAGGGTGGCCGGCTGCGCCAGCAGGGTCAAATCTCATCCATTCCCATCTTAAACATGTTCATATTAGTCAAGACCTGAGAGCAAATTTTGGGTAGAGAAGCACCCATGTCAAACTGTTTTTTCACATGTTTATCAAGCTGCAGCCTGCCAATGGTCAATGTAGAAAAGAGGCGATGTAGATGACTGCAGGGCACAGGTTGGGACCCAGATGAGCAGCGGCCACCCAGGGTTGTCGTGGGCTGTGGCTGCTTCCTGCTACGTGGCCTGCATAATGAGGGCAGAGACTTTCTGGGGCTGTGGAGGAGGGTGGAGATGGGGAGATCTCCTTCCGAATCCCTGGAGAAGACGGTTTCCACAGAGCAATCGCATTTCAATCCCAGATGCCCAGAGACTTCACTGGCTCCTCCTGCCCGGACAGTGACTTTCAAGGAACAGGACGTGGAGATTACTAGACTGCAAGGGAAAGAAAGAGGGCTTCCCATGACTGCCAGAATGTCCATAATTCTCCCTTCAGATTTTCAGCTCCCAATTAAAAGGCAACTCGATCAGATAATCTTCAAAATAGAGTAGGCGGATTTTGAGGAGGGAGGGCGGGCACAAAGCAGAAGACTGAGAGGAGAGGGTCTGGGGTCACCAGCAGGTGTCCTGAGCTCTGCTGAAATACACATGGGTGACTAAGACCTGAAGACTGGGTCCTTTGTGTTCCTCGTGAATGTGGGATGGGCTTCGCTCCGACAGATTCCCTCTGGGAAGCCTGGGGGCAAGGAGGCAGGTGCTGGGAGGCTGATAGTGGTACAATGGGAGCCTTGATTCTATCAAGGGGTTGCGGCAATTAGGAAAAAAAGGAAATCTTGGTGACATCACATCCTGGGAATACAGCATGAATGCCCTCCACTTTCAAGAAAGAAATAAAATTCAGGCCTCCATGACAAGGGGAGGAAGGGAGTGCAAGGAGACTGGATGGGAAAATCTGGAGGGGATTTCCCAGCAGGCTCTGGTCTGCAGGGTGTGCGAGCCACCGCGGCTGCAGGCAGAGAGTAGGTACTGCTCAGACACTGTCATTGGGGTGGATGGTGGGACAGGACACCAGGACAAGGACCACGCTAGATCCGGACCAGCTGAGTAAGAAATGACGTGATGTCTGTGGAAGCTTGAAGCTGATGACGAGGCGGTTTTGGACCAGAAGGCAGATATTTTATGTACAAACTGAGCAAGTTTAATTTTGGAAGCCATCTGATTTTTCAGGAAAAGGGGTGATGTCACGATGAGTCTGAGGTCAGTGTTGTGGCATACCTTGTCTAGTCCTTCTTCGAGACTGGAGACTCCAATTCAGGTTGGCTGCACCAGGTGTGTGGCTTCCACACAAACACTAAGAAACACCAAATATGATGAGCTGAATGGCAGGGAAGAGTCTTTTTTTTTT